GGCCCCCCAGGGCACCCTTAAATATTGGGCTAGAATGGCTATTTTTTTCTAAACATACTGTTAACATGATGTTACTTTTTGTGGTTACCCCAATTAAAATATAAACAAAAAATATATTTTGGGCCTCAGGGGCACCCTTAAATTTTGGGCTAGTACGCTCATTTTTTTTTTAGAATTGCTGTTAATATAAGGTAACTTTTGTGGTTACCCCAATTAAAATATGATAAAAATAAATATTTTGGGCCTCCGGGGCACCCTTAAATATTGGGCTAGTACGCTCATTTTTTTTCTAGAATTACTGTTAACATAAGGTAACTTTTTGTTTCCACCCCAGTCAAAACATACAAAAAAAAATATTTTGGGCCCCCGGGGGACCCTTAAATAATGGGCTAGTACGCTACATTTTTTTCTAATAAATTACTTTTAACATAAGAGTCAATCCAAATGAAAACACCAAAAATGAATTTAAAAGTGCGCTGCATGATTTTTTATTGTAATGAAAAAAATTGAGGATGATCTTTTAGGTGTCAAATATGAAAATCCGTTGCCGTTTTAATTTTTTGTTGCTTTACTTTTATTTGGCACCCCTTAGAAGTCTGAAATTGTGTCAATTTCTTACTCTCTTATAGTGGGCCAGAACTTTTTTTCTGTGACAAATATTGAAATAATTTAAATTTTGTTTTACTGTCCAGTAAGTGTGTTTTCGATATAAATTATTATTATCCAATTAGTTAATCTCATAAAAGAATGGTAAACCACTAAAGATTCATCATAATTTGCCAATTTTTGTGATTTTTGTCTGGCTCCTGTGTCTATTCTACTGAATTTAGAAGGTTCATTTTTTTCAGGTATAAAGTACTTATACAATAGAAAACGTAACTATTATTTTAAGTTTCTAGACTATCAATTTCTTTATTAAAAAAATTATTGAAAATTGATAACTCTCAAAATTAGCCAATTTTGCCCTTAGAAATCATTATGTTGAGGAAAAAATAAAAATCTGAAACTTTCAGGAAATGTAGTCCCCACCTTCATCTTTTCAGTCCAGTAGGTCTTGTTTTGTTATTTTTATTCCTTTAAAAGATATATTAATTTTTTTAATGCCCGTTTAGTAGCGATATTGTTAGTTTTATTTATAATTTAAAATTTAGATGGCTTTGACTTTGTCAATTCATGTTTGTTAGAGAAATGTCAGAACTGTCAAAAATATTTCATAAATTTTATTTGTGCGTATTTAAATTGTGATTTCAAAAAGTTTGCAAGTGTAATAAATGACGGAGTGTTCGAGATTCATGAATTTAATTGCAATTAAAAATGCAAGGACATATAATAATTTTGTACCTCTTTCTTATAGAAAATATTTAAGTTTTGAGAAGTTTTAAATTGTTAAAAATAAGCAAAAACCAAAAAATAATCTAAATAAACCCCTTTATTATAACATGTTTTATTTTAACCAGTTACCTAAAAACTAAAATTTAAAGAAGTATTTATAGATTATGTAAATTTTTTCCAACACTATCATTTAAAATACATACATTTAACTTTTTACTATTTAGTGCCTTACTAAAGGGATCAAAATAATGGAACAAGACTAACTTGGGTTAAATTGTGAAAGAAACCGACAAAAAACTGCTTAACGCATTTTTTATACGTTTAAATTAACTCTTTATTAATTTCACTTTTTATACTTAACGATATAAACCATAAGGATCTTGAATATATTTTTTATCTTCTTTAAACACCAATTAGCCAATTAAATACTTCATTATAATTTATATAATATATAATCATATATATATATATATATATATATATATATATATATATATATATGATTTTTCAATACATAAAATATAACATAACTACCAAAAATATCAGAACTGTCAAAAATATTTCATAATTATTATTTGTTATTCCTTTGGTGATTTTAAAAGTTTTATAGGTATATAACATAATATGACAAATTATGTTATATACAAAATTTACCAAAAAAATACGCACAAATAATATTTATGAAATATTTTTGACAGTTCTGACACTTCTCCACCAAACATGAAAGCCATCTAAATCTTAAATTATTAATAAAACTAACAATATCGCTACTAAACGGGCATTAAAAAAATTAATATATCTTTTAAAGGAATAAAAATAACAAAACAAGACTAACTGGACTGAAAAAATTAAGGTGGGAACTAAATTTCCTGAAAGTTTCAGATTTTTATTTTTTCCTCAACATAATGATTTCTGAGGGCAAAATTGGCTAATTTTGAGAATTATCAATTTTCAATAATTTTTTTAATAAAGAAATTGATAGTCTAGAAACTTAAAATAATAGTTACGTTTTCTATTGTATAAGTACTTTATACCTGAAAAAAATGAACCTTCTAAATTCAGTAGAATAGGCACAGGAGCCAGACAAAAATCACAAAAATTGGCAAATTATCATGAATCTTTAGTGGTTTACCATTCTTTTATGAGATTAACTAATTGGATAATAATAATTTATATCGAAAACACACTTACTGGACAGTAAAACAAAATTAAAATTATTTCAATATTTGTCACAGAAAAAAGTTCTGGCCCACTATAAGAGAGTAAGAAATTTACACTATTTCAGACTTGTAAGGGGTGCCAAATAAAAGTAAAGCAACAAAAAATTAAAACGGCAACGGATTTTCATATTTGACACCTAAAAGATCATCCTCAAATTTTTTCATCAAAATAAAAAATCACGCAGCGCACCCCATTTGGTGTTTTTATTTGGAATGACTCATAAGGTAACTTTTTATTGCTACCCAAACATAAATATCTCAAATATTTTTTTTTTACGTTTTTCGGCCCACCCTACTCTACATTCATGATCTGAAACCCTTTTAATTTTAAATAATATTAAGTAAGTGTAATACTCATTGATACCTTCGTTATAGGGGAAGGATTGGGAATTTTGCGCGGTGGATAATTTTACGCATAAACAATTCTTCCAGATATAAAGTAAATAATACATTTTTTGAATGTTGCAACCTTGGAAACGTTGCTTTTGATATACGCGGACTAAAGTGTATCGCAATTTAGCTGGTATTTATATGGCCATACTAGTGACCAGTAAACTGTGATACATTTACCGTACATGATGTACGTTGATTTAGGAAATCCATGTCGTTTCCGCTACGAGGTAAGTTTAAATTTCTGTCCAATTGCTTAAATGTTTATAACACAACTTTATATGATCTTTCCTCGTAATCTCGTGTATGTTTAAATTGTTACGGTTAACTTTTGGAAAGTTTTTTAGTATCACAATATTTTTATTGCAATTGGGGTAATTTTGCGCCGCAAAATTTGGCCAATATGGGAGCTTTGGTACAGGAGCATAGATTGTTTAGCATAAACAGTGCCATTTGGGCACACGCGGAGTGTAGCGAAAAAAAAAACCCCTAAAACTACATATGTGACAACTGCTGCATGTAGACCCTCCTCTAATTTCTAAGAACAAAAATTTTATTTTTAGTTATTTATTTTTGATTTTGTTTGTTTCATAGAGAAAATAGTTTTGTTTTATTTTTATGTTTTAATATAATAATATTATAGAAATAAACGGTTTATTTGGATACCTACAAATCGTTCTCTATACAGCGCATATTTTTCCCCTATGATGCGCAAAATTACCCTGATAGGTGGGTAATTTTGCGCAAATGCATTATTTAAAAAAATTTAGTTTTTGCATACTAAACAATTTTTTTTTATAAATTGCGCATTATATACACATAGTAAACATAGTAGACTATCGCTGGCATTAATTGCAAAATTACACATTTAAACTTAACAAGGATACTAAAGATTTTGCTTAGATGCGCAGAATTCCCCCACATTCCCCTAGCTATAAAAAGTTTTGCAGTTTTTATACAGAAAAAATCCCCAATCATTATTGGGGATTTTTTCTGCTCCAAAATAGGATTTTAAAAATGGTTCTATTGTTTAAAGGGCATATAAGTCTTTAAAGTTATAATTTTGTTTGATATAAAAATAAACGTAGATTGTTTTTTTGTATAGTTTTTCTAAATATAAGGTAATAAATCATGTTTCCTTGCAAATATTGACAAAAAAGAAGTAGCCATATTAGTTGATGCAGTTAAACAGAAAAAAAGAGATTTTTTATCAAACTTTAACAGGAAAAAACAATAAGAAAAAATTTTAAAACGATTGACTCCATTTGTAAACGTAATGTTGGAGGCAGGCCTTGCAAACAATTTTTGGTGCACAATATTCTAAAGTACGTAGTTGCTTTGAAGAACTCATCGACGCAGCTGCTTCGTGAACGCGTGAAAATAAAAAAAAGGTTCAGTACTGGATGCTGATTTTGGGTTAGCCCTGTGAACTCAGGCTAACTTATAGAGATACCAATATAAAGTCATTACTCTCTAAAAATGAAATAGTCAAAATTCTACTATTTGAATTAGTACCAGCATTTTTTACTAATAAAATAGTCGTTTTCACTTTTAAATAGTTATTTTTCACTACGTAAATAGTTAACTAATTTAAGATTAGTCAACATCTTTGACTATTTCTGAGAGTTAAAAGTAACTAATTTCTTTTAACGTTTGCGGCCAACAACAAAGTATTATTTAAATTAAATGCATATACCTAAGCTCCATGGTTAAATGACCCATAAAACAAATAAATAAGATTCAAAAAGTTTAGCTCAAAACAGCAACACAAATAATATATTCAACTTTAAAATATTATGAACACTATTTATTGACAAATAAAATTGATTTTTATAAGAGCGGCTGATAGCTGAATGGGTCATGTCAACAGCTTGACAAGTGACAGACCTCCATCCAATCCCCGGCTAGGTCAAAACTTTTTTTAAAATTAAATCTAATAATTTGACTATTTCATTCAGTAGAATTTGACTAATTACAGGGTTTACCATCGGCGACTTCTTTTTTCAATAGGGGCAAATTTTGATAAGATGACAGCTTTGACAATTACTTTTTTGACATATGTCAGTAAAAGCTTTGCCATTTGTAAAAATGCCTTCAATTTCAATTGAAAATCGTATTAAAAACATCGAAACCTATAACGAAAATGGTCGTTGCGTGAAAACCACATATCGTAAAATTCGTGATATGTTTGGTCGTCATGGTCGGCCATCTGAGAACGCTATTAAGAATTTGGTGGATAAATTCAAATCTACTGGTTCAACCAACAACATACCAACTCCAATTCGTGTTCGTCCGGGTCGTTCAGCTGAAAATATTGCTGCTGTGAGTGAAAGTGTTGAACAAGATCCAAATCTGTCCATTCCGCGGCGTTCTCAACAATTGGGCTTATCGACAATGACCACATGGCGAATTTTGCGTAAGGATTTATCTCTAAAACCTTATAAGGTACAGTTGGTTCAAGAATTGAAGCCGGCCGACCATTACGTTCGTCATCAGTTCGCTAATTTCATTACTGAACAATGTGCTGGTTTTTCTAAAAAAATATTCTTTTCGGACGAAGCTCACTTTCATTTGGATGGCTACGTTAATAAGCAAAATTGTAGAATTTGGGCATCAGAAAATCCAAGGAAAGTTATTGAGAAGCCTTTACATTCTCGCCGTGTCACTGTTTGGTGTGCATTTTGGTCGGGAGGTGTGATTGGACCATATTTTTATGAAAATGAGGCCGGAAACACTGTAACTGTCAATGGATTGCGTTATCGGGATATGTTGACTAATTATTTTTGGCCTATTATCGATGACATAGATGTGAGTGACATGTGGTTTCAACAGGACGGCGCCACATGCCACACTGCCAGACAAACAATGGATTTATTGCAAACCAAATTTCCAGATCGAGTAATTTCGCGTAACTCTGCAGTAAATTGGCCGCCTAGATCCTGTGATTTAACACCTCTGGACTATTTCTTGTGGGGCTATGTGAAAGATAAAGTCTATGCGGATAATCCGCTAACCATTGAGGCGTTAAAAGCCAACATTGAACGTGCCATTCGTGAGATAGAGCCTCAGTTATGCCAAAATGTAATTACAAATTTTAACAAACGAATCGATGTTTGTAGGCGTACTGGGGGTGGGCATTTGAATGATATTATTTTTCATTTATAAATGGCAAACCTTTCACTTTATATATCAATAAAGATTCACAGCATTTTCATTCAAATAGTTTGTTTTATTTTGAAACCAAAAAAGAAGTCGCTGTTGGTAAACCCTGTATAAGTGACGCTATGACAATTAATCAAATATGACTTATAATTAGTTATTTTTGACTAATTCATTTTAAGAGAGTAGAAAGGCAATAAAAGATAAGGGTCACAATATATTTCCAAGATATGTTAAGATACTGGAAGCCAGAAAGAAATGTTACCCGAAGAGGCTTTAGAAACAATAGGTGAGTTGTATTATTGTTGTGTAGCTTTAGAGACAATAAATAAGTTAAAACTTCCCTTTTTAATTTACTTTTCCTTTTGTCTATAAATGAAATTCGCAAATTAAATTCCAAATGTTTTTATTCACTTGAGTGAGTTCAAATTCTTCCTAATAATTTTTGCATCATAAAGAATCATTTCATTAATTACTTACGATAAACTTCTTGTTATGTACTATACATCGCTCAAAATTAATTAAAAATATTATGTACCTACTTATTATTAAGTATATCATGTCTATACTTTTTCCATTGGATTTAGAACTCTGATGTGCCACTGTGCCACTTGGTGTTCTGTTCTCAATGTTAAGCTACCGCTGTGTCAATTATGCACTTACCTGAGCTACGTCCCTTGATACTAATATGGCAATTTATATTAAACTAAACTTATTTGGTTAATACCTGAGCGCGTTTTATAAGTAACTGAGGCGGGTTTGGTCACTACCCGTGCGCGGAATTGACCAAGCCTGTCTAAGCTACTTATAAAACCTCATTTATTTGTACTATTATTATTTAATTAAACACTGTCAACATAATTATGACCGACTGTCGCCATCCGCTTATTATCGCTGAAAATATGATTTTTTTTGTTGCCAGAACTGTTCACATTTTAAATACTGTAGAAAAGGTTGCGTGTAGACATGTTAAACCCCTTCATTGTATTAAGTTGTGCAATCTTAATTAAAAAAGGAAAATTGCAACTTTTTGGCGCCAAATTTTGGTCTCTAAATTACAATAACTGTTGAAACCACATTAAATTATTAGATCATTAATAATAATCTTAAAAAATATCATGAGATGTGATGAAAAACGTCTTGCGGTTAAGTGCCACAATGTTAAACAAAAATTCCGTCCTCAAATTGAAATTGAAGAGACTCCAGAGGTTTTATTTGGACCAAATGAGCCATAAAAATAAGCGATAACGTCGCATATTTTAAAATATACTTATTGGAGATATCTACATGTCTAGTGACGTATAATTTAAGTTCTAACAATAAGAAACATTTATTTTTTGTTGCATTTTATTTTGTTTCCAAAAATTCCTTCGGTTAATTTGTTTTAAAGTTATTTACCATTTAAGATGTATTTTTCGACATTATTTTCAACCCTTTGTTACTTAAAATAATTTTTTTTAACATAAAACTAATAAAAACCTTATCAATAATTTGTAATTTTGTATTTAATATATTATATTATATAAGTATACTTATTATCTTTATGCGTTTTATAATTTGAATAGCTTCCTCAAAAATTTTAACCATTTTACTTATTTTATTTAAATATTTATTATATTTTAACCAAATAGCTATTTAGTAATTAATTGGTAAATTTAATTTCTAATCATAATTAATATTACAATAATATCTTTTCGTAATAAATGAAAGTACTAAACTGCGGGCTTTGTAATCGGATTGTATTTAGTGTAGATATAAGGCCGATTCTCACATAGCGACGCGACGCTACGCTACGCTACGCGACGCGACACTTTAAAATGTAGCTGATGAAAGATTTCCATGCATTTAAATGAGACAGCAACGCGACTCGACAAAATTTGGTCGCTTCCTGGAGCGTAGCGTCGCGTCGCTATGTGAGAATCGGCCTTATAGGTCACAGAGAAGGCTACAGCGTCCGAAGATTGCGTTGCTATTCAAAATCTATTCTTATAGTTCTCACTACCCTGTCCGACTATACACGACGCGGGCTTCAATAATCAATAATACGGTATACTGAGCTTCGCTCAATTGTAGGCCTCAGCCACGCTTCGGATTTCAAACTTTGACCTCAGGATAAAAAGACTCACTTCTCAGCCTAGTGATATAAATAACAAAAATTGTATGGTGTCCCCCCATTGTATTTGACGTATTGCAAAATCATAAGAAGAATATAGAATTCATGTTTAATTGATAAGATATAGATAAATTTAAACATAAAAAATCTGCCTAAAAAATTTTTTCGAGTTGAAAATATAAGTAGGTATCTAAAAATTACAAAATTTATATTTTTTTAATACGTTGCATCAAATATTTAACGTATACCTTGTAGATTTTTTACCATGCATTTTTAGAAGGAAGAATGTTTTTATAATATGGGATATTTTACAATAGAAAAATCCATTAAAAATAGGGCTCTTGAAAAAACATTTTATAAATAAAGTAGTTTCTTAACATGCAAACTATTTTTTAAGTGTTTAAATTTATCCATTCAAAATTTAAAATGTTGTATTAGTTTCAACCTAATCTGCTGTTTTAAACTTCCCTACAAATAAAAATTATTTTAAGACCATTTTAAACATTTTTGCTTACATCTTTTTCCTTAAGCATAAAATAATTTACTTTTTAATTAGTACAGATTTGCAGAGTTTTACTTTAATTAAAAAAATTGTTTGGGATTTCATTTACTTTTTAATGAAGCGTTGTTCGAAAGGAAATCGTTTTAATTATGTACAATTAATTCTTAAGAAACATTAAAATGTCATTTGCTTTATATACCTTCATGCTACATTTTAAACATTAACATCCTCTTAAAATGTTTGCGATACATAAATGTGGGGGCGAAAATTAAACGGTGAATTTCTTTAAAAAAAAATCAAAAAATCCAAGGGGATTTATTTTCAAATTATCTGTTATTAAATTTGTTCATTTTTTTCAATAACTTTTGCACACTAAAAGGTGAAAAAATGATTTAACTTATTGGGCAGTGCCTTTTTAATGCTTATTGTAGCATTTTCTGCATGGCTGTGAAAAAACTTGTATCAACAAAGGTATAATAAGTAAACCATATATATATATATGGAAAAACTAAAAAAGATTCAAATAAAGGATAGGTAGCTACCCTAGGGCAGTCTTTATTAGATAATAGTTTAAAGATTAAAGTTTAACACTTTAATGATGTTTTAACAGAAATTTACAAAGTTAAATTTTTTTAAACTCAAAACAATCGATTGTCAAAAAATATTTTAAATATAAAATACAAATGTAAAAGTTTAAGTTTAAAATAATGGTTTTTAAAAATTGTACTTTTAATATTTTATTCTACAAAATTATTGGTTTAAATTTGTAAAGAGTCATTTAAATGATAGTCGATAAATTTGAAATAGAAAAATTCTCACATTAAATTTAAATGTTAGTTTTAAATTTTAAAGTGGTAATTTTTGGATTAAAAATGTATCGACTCTTATTTAAATTACTCTTTACAAATTTAAAGCAAAACTTTTTGTTTTTAACAATTTTAAATTGATACATGTTTAACACAAAATTTATAGCTTTACATTTAAATGATGTGAGTCGATAATTTTTAATTTACAAAGTGTAAACGTAGCTTTAGCAGACAGAGTTCTCCGTCTTTTTCTAAGCCTAGTCCATTATGGACTATGATACTAGGTGAAACGTACAAAGCGCGAAGTCTCTTTGTACACCTTGTGAAATTATCGACTTACATTTAAATGTAATGTGAATATGTTTGTGTTAAAAATGTATCAATTTAAATTTGTAAAAAATTAAAGTTATTGTTTTAAATTTCTGAAGTCATTTAATTGATAGTCGAAAAATGTTTAATTCAAAAATTACCACTTTAAAATTTAAAACTAACATTTAAATGTAATGTGAGTATTTTTGTATTACAAATTTATCAACTTTATCATTTAAATGACTCTTAACAAATTTCTGTATGGAGTTTAATAATGATTTAACTTTTGATCTATATTTTAAATACATTAATATATTCTTTTTATATAGATTTATGAGTGTTATATTACAAATAATGTACGCTTGAAAAAATTGTAGATTGTTGACCAGGCGTATAAAGCTAATATTATACTTAAGCATACATTTCAAGTAGATTTTGTGCAAGGCAATTAATAAGCGTGTCGTGTTTCATATGCTATTTTTTTCAAGCATTTAATTAGAATATCTCTTTAAAATATTAAACATTAGTTTACGTACGGAGGTTTGTAATAATTTAACTTTTACTAAAAAAAATAAAAAATAAACTCTCTTACATAGACCAATTAGTGCTATAAAATTATTATACCTACGCTTACAAAAAATAAATATTTTTTGTTAAAATAGAAATATAAAAAAGAGGATGTAGTTTTGTTTAAATATTTAATGCATTCTCCACATATATGAGTAAAAACAATGTTGAAATAAAAACTACTTACACGAAAATAAGAGCAGCAACATATTTTTTAAATTTAAAACTTGTGTCATCCAATATTTATTAAGCTTGTTGTTATATATACCTGTATTTTTCTTCAAAAAGCAGATACGGCGAAAGCTTTGTATACACAGCAAATGACCTAAACCATTATATTCTAGATTAGGGTCTGCATGTAGTAATTAAAAATTATAAATTTATATTTAAAGTTCGCTTTGTTTAACGAATTTAACGAGACTTTGAGCGACAACAGAGCGTCAGAAAACCCGCATTGTCGGAGTTTATTCTTAAAATATTTTATTTTACAAAATAAAAGTACAGGGTGGGACAAAAACAATTTTTAATAGCAAATCAAAAACAAGGACACAACAAAATTTCCTTTAACATTTAAAAAGAGCAAAGACAATATACTTTTTGTTATTGGCCGCCCAAAGAGTAAACGTAAATTTCCTTTGATATTCCAAGACAATTTTTTTCCACCATTTTTTAAATTCGAAAAATTGCAGAAGTTATTTAATTTTAAAGT